CCTAATTAACTACTTTTCCTGGAAGACAAACAATACCAGTATTAATAATACAAAAGGCAGATGTTATGTGAATACTTGAGGGGATTATATGGAGGATCTTAAATGTGGTAGTAAAGCAATCACTGCTGAATAGACATCAGTGGAGGAGGAAAAAAAAGAATGTGTAAATTTATGAGCTGTAAATTCAAGCTTATCATTTACTCCAAAGGATCGTTCAATACCATTAAAAATGAAAGTGTTTTTAAAGCCAAAAGTTCAAACAATGTGCCTGAATCATGACTGAATTTTTATAACAAGGATTAAGTATAGCATATGAAAATGTAAAAGGAAAGGAAACATAGTTAACATATGCAACACATCCTGAAAGAAAAAATGCAAATAGCACAATGCCTTAAGTCCTATACATAGTTGGTATCAAACAAGAAAGCCATAAATAATACAAGTTCACATACTTAATGCAACTACATCTTGGGTATACTAGTATCCCTGTATAAAGAAGTACACCGACCTTCTGCCAGTATCCCCTGGTGAAATAAAATCTCTCTGGCATGTTCAGCATATAAGCCCTTTTTATTAATAATGGAAAATTTCAACCAAATGTGACTGGAACAAAGACAGTATAGGCAAAGATACAGATAAAACACAGTGCTTTAACATTTTCAAGCAATAATATTAATTGTCACTTCTGTCAGTTTAGTGGCAATTTTGTACAGACAAGTAGTCTCTGCCTAGCCCAGGTACATGGTGTTCAAATGTCCTGGTTTGGTTGAGCTCAAGTCCTTGAAGACTCAAGGACTCGATCTCACCAAACATCATGACAAAAATCTCTTGTATGTTATTTTGTCTTGGCTTTTCCTATGGACGAAGGGTCTTCCCTGTGTGCCCTCACTCAAACTGGAACCTGGGAAATGAATCTGTTCCAAGTAGTGTAGCACTGAGTACCCAACGGGAAGGTTACATGATCCACCCTTTGCAACTGCATCAAGTCACGTAGCCCTGTACAGGAGAGCATGTTCCCCTTGTAACACCAGGCACAGAGAGCAGAGCCCTATGGCCTTTTAACCAAAAAAAGATGGTGACCCTAACCTGGGGGCACTATATCTGGCAATCCTTCCTGACCTGTCCAAGCAGCTTACATAAGAAACCTGTTGAGATATCTGAGCTACCTCCCCCAATTCATCCATCCATCCATCCATCCATCCATCCATCCCAGAAAGGCAGAAAGGGTTAGGAGGACTGACTTGGATGTTTGGGTTTTTTTTCCTAACAGGCTGCCTTTCCTCACAACTGAGGAAGCAGAAAAGTCCACAGTCCTTTATGGCACAGAATTTTGAATAAATGTATCTATAACTAATAACAATAATACTTATAAATATTTAATTTCTTGTTTATAATAACTATTAACAGAACCTATTAGTACTATGACCCTAAAAGTGCTAGACCAGCAATTTTCTTGCAGTTCTCTTTAGAAAGAAACGCTTTTGTCCCTACAGAAATCACAACTACAGGGAAGCACACCCTTGCCAAGGGTAAATACCGCTTCAGGTTCCACTAGCATTTTGCAGTTAATTAGGCAATCTTTTTGAGTCCTTCCGAGTCTAACCACATTTAGCTGAATGTATTTAGTACTATCAATGCTGGTCAGTTCACACCATTCTCTTGGCACATGCAAGCTCCCCATCAACTTACCTTCGTGAAGAAGCTTGAGTGCCTGAGAACCTAGTCTTACAAAAGTTACCCCTATATATTGCAACTGTCTTCTGCTCACTTTCTCCATACTTCCTGAAAAATTATGGCCAGCTTTGGATTAATAGCATGACTGGGAAGAGCTATGTCCTTTTTTAGCATAGTATTTTAGTAGAAATGTGTGTGAAACAGAATTCCCTAATTGCAAAAGTATGGGACTGACCATCAGAAGACCTGGGGTTTATTGCTCCTTGTGAGAGAAGAGAGACAAGTCACTTAATCCTTTGGTCTGAGACTCTTAAATGCATTTGGGAGTACCAGCATGGTAAGGCTGAACCCTAAGGGTAGCTTGCCATCCAGTGAAAACTTGAATCCCAATTTGGCTTTAGCTCCTGCACCAGCTACCTCTTTTAGGTAAGTGATTTATGAAAGGATCCTTAGAAGATGGATAGGAAGTGGCATAAGCTTGACAGGAGTGAAAGGCTGAGGCTTAGGTAATGAATCTGGTGTGGCTGGCCAGAGGGACAGTGGCATCCTGAGCACAGGATCCTCAACTTTGGAGGCATGGCACTGTTAGCCAGAAACTTTTGACAAAAAGCAGAGAGATTGAGTATAGCCTGGAGCTTACGACTGTCACTGGAGAATGTAAGGTGGGTTGAAGTCCCTGCTGCCTGTGCAATACAGCTTTTGAATTAAGGGGGATCTCCTGTATGCCAGCTGAGCTTCCCAATTTATCAGATGGAAACATGAACATACTTCTTTTGCTCTGGCTGTTGGTTTTTTTTTTTTTGTTGTTTGTTCTTTTTTTCAACTCGAGTATCGTGCTATTCTCTTTTTCTGTTGGCTTGTATGCCAACTGCCTCCTACCTCTGACAGACATAAGGTCTGAAGAGAGCTTTCAATACACCAAGGTCCCACCATGGAAGAGTGAGCTCTATCTATCATTCACTCACTTTGGTAATCCCACCCTGAGCTTTTCTTCTTGTGCAAGGAAGGGCTTGAAGTGGCATGTCAGTCCTGAGTATTTTCACCATTTGGTCCGGTTAAAAGCTGACACGCAGAAGCGTATTTTTGCATGTGGCTAGGTGGCAGCTGTTTTGATATTTTGGAAATATCACTGATTCCTGAACTGTGAGCTTATGTGGTTACAGTATGAAAGGGGCATCTAAGCATCTTCCAGGATGCAGGTCTACACACACTGGATACCGCTATTTTCCAAACTGCTTTGAAATGCTTGTTTGAAAGTATAGAATGAATCAGAGAATTATAGAAGTTGGAAGGGACATCTGTAGGTCACTTAGTCTGACCTCCTAATCAGGAGGTTGCTCAAGGCCCAGCTCAGTCATATCATGAATATCTCTAAGGATGGATATTTCACAACCTCTCTTCATATCTGTATCAATTTTTGTCCACCTTCATGGTAAAATATTATTTTCATTATATCTAACCAGATTTTTTTTTTTGTTCCAACTTGTATTCATTACTTCTTGTCCTATTGCTGTATATTTTCAAGAAGAGTCTGGCTGTACCTTCCCTATAACCTTCCATTAGATAGCTGAAGACAGCTATAAGATGTCCGTTTAATCTTCTCCTCTTAATGCTGAAAAGGAGTTACTCTCAGACTCTCCTCATAGGCCATGTTCTTCAGGCCCCTGACCTTGGTGAGCACTGCTAGACTCATGCCAGTATGTCCACATCTGTCTTGTAATGGAGAGCCCAAAACTGGATGTAGCACCTCCAACGTGGTCTTACAAGCGCTAAATAGAGGGGAAGAATCACTCCCCTTTTTCTGCAAAGCTTCTTCCTAAGCAGTCAGTCATCTCATGTCTGTAATGAGGCTTTTCTCTCCCTTTGCGTTTGCTTTTGTTAAACTTCATAATGTTCCTGTCAGCCCACTTCCACAGCCCGGCCAGGTCACTCTTAATAGCAGCGCTGCCCTTTGGCGTATGAGTTGCTCTCCCCAGTTTGGTATTGTCAGCAAACTCGAAGTATGCCATAAGCGCTCACTGTTAGTATTTGCAGGAAGAGAGGAGGCTGGTGAACAAAGACCTATCTTCACTCTCTTTATCAGCTCTCTAGCATAATTTGGGGAAGCAATATCAGTCTACATCCTTAGCCTGAACTGAAACAGGCCAATTACCACTGAAAACCGAAAAAAGGCAATTTTAGGGGAAAAGTGCCTTTGGCAAAGAAGCTTGTATTCTCAAATGTATTTAGGTGGATAATCATATTTTTTCTTGGCTTTCTTACAGTAGCAATATTACAGACTATTTTTTCCAGAGGACTTTAAAATGATCTTTCCTTTAAAAAAATTTTACTTATGTGTCTTTTCAAATTGAATAGCAACAATTTGAACACTGACTTTAACTTCATTTGTGTTCATTTTTATCATTATGAAATATTGTGCATAATTTTAATTACTGCAGGATAGTATTTATTATTTTTCTATACTTTGGAAAAGAGAAAGTATCATGCATAAACTATTAGCAGGGTGTATTTTTCATATTACATGTTTTTTGCCACTACCTTGAAGAATGTTCGACTGAGCCAGATGAACTAAAAGCCAACTAAAATGCATTTGAAAACTTTAAAGAAGACAGAAAGAAACTGCATAGCATACAAGATAATAGTTGGAAGGAAACACCCAAAAGCAGACTAAGGAAACAGATGGCAATGTGCCTGATAAATGACTAATGTTAGAAATTAAGCAAGACTCCTGCTCAAATGCCAAATACTGCTTTAAATTTGAGTGTCCACTCAGATAAACTCTCACGTTTAAACAAAAGCACTAAAACAAACCCCTCTGTGATTCACATTGTTATTTATCTGCTGGGAATGGCGTGAACAACAGTGGTGCCTATTATATGGTTTATATTATTTGAAACACAAGGACACCAAAATCTGTTTTTCCTCTGAATGATGCACACTACTTAGGATGATGAATATGCCTGTCATGAATCAGAGCTAATTACTGTCTTACTCGTAATAAAGCAGCACACTGTCTTGTTTTGCTGGGGCTTCTGTGAGGAAAATGGGGAGAAGCTATGTGCTAGGTCTAAGCTGCTCTGAAAGTCCAGCTGGCAGCGTGGCTGTCAGGGCAGTGCACTCCTCCTCTGCTCACACTGACTGCAGACAGATTCCCCTAAAAGGGACATTGGGTACCTTTAGTCTCGCCGGTAGGTACATTCGATTGCTTTTCGTTCTCTACAAGTAAATTCTGATAAAATGGCTGTAATGTTTTGTGTTGGTTTTGTTAGTGTTTATATATAATTTTTACATTGAAACCAGATTTTAAAAACAGTTAAGAAACTTACAAAAGACATCTCCTCTAAGCCTTCGCTCGTGGTCAATTTGATTCTCAAAATCTTCCTTCTCCTCTTTGTCTGACTCTTCTGCCACCTCTTCTGCAGTAGCTTCAGTTTCTTTCTCTTCCTCAGTGTAGCTCCCACCAAGATCAATACCACCTTCATAGTCCAATAACTGCAAGTGGGTCTTAGAAGCCGGTGTCACGGCTGCTTCTGGGATCGCATTCTTGATTGTTTCATGCTTTTTCACACTCTTTTTATGCACAAGAAGTTTCTTGATTGTGTCCTTAGCTGTACCAGGGATTCTTGCAATTTCCTTCACTGACTTTTCAGGGATAACTAGAACCAAAAAGAAAATATTAAATATTCATCTAAGGAATCATTCAGAAATGACATCATTTGTAAATGGCACCACGGTGTCGTTTACAATGTCCAGAGACCCATACAGCCAGATTCTCTGCTATGAGACAGAAGTTCAGCTCTGCGCAGAACTGAATACGCATGCACGTGTTTAGCTCTGTTGTAGAGACAACCCTCTGAGTTACAGCGAAAAGACCAAAGTGACCCTCTGTCATAACCTCATTTGGACTCCTGTGTAACACAGGCCACAGAGCCCCTTACAGTAATTATTTTTACACTGGAGCTTTGGTAAAAAAAAATTACCCTCCTTCAATTTGTGGACTACTAAAAATTGTCCATGGAGGTGTGATTCCCTGCATAACAAATGCCAGCCTACTAGCAATGAGCATTTTTCTTAGCTATCTTTTGTGAACTTCTCTGGCCTAACTTTACTTGCACCACAGGCTGAAATGGAATGTATTTTGAGAGGAGATACGTCAGGCTGCTCTGTCACATTTCATTTAGCTCTAAGGGACATTTAGTTCTAAAGGGGTAAACCTCAAAACTCCAGAGAGGCATCACAGAATGCCTAATTATTATTTCTTGCAATTCCAAGGTGGACTAGAACATACATGTAGAATCTCCTGAGATTTTTACTGATTTATGATTCTTCTTGGCTACAAAATACAAAAGGATAACCAGCCTTGTAGTATCTTGCAACTTTGGATTCTGCTCAGAAACGCAAAGGCTGCCAGAAGTGAAAAACTTCAGAGATGGGTAAAAGTCAAATGAGATGTTCAAATCTGTAAAACAACAAAAAAAAAATCTGAATTTGGGGGTTTTCCTATTATGAAGTATAATGAAGTCAAATAGCCTCTATATCCAGGCAAAAACTTCAAAGCATCAATTGGTAAGAGGGCATTTTTACATTTACATGGCAGCCCTGATTTTAAAATCATGCTTTCCTTGTCAATGTATTGAGTTTCGAGACACAAGCCTTTTATTTCTTTTAAAATTAAATTTGACTCTCCCTACAATCATCAAACTATTTTTTGATGCCTGAATAAGGGACATTTTTCATAGGAATCCATTTGAAGATGCATTTCTAGGGATGTGGGGAGGCAGGATTGATTTTCCACCAGTGGTGGCACCCAGCAGCAGCGCAAAGGGCTCCATTGAGACAGTATGTTGGCCAGCTGTTCTCCATGTCCTCTTAAGACAGGAAAACGATCAGTTTACATGAAATTAGGAGACATTTTAGTTAACTATTTGAAAAACTTGCTTACTCTCCTTGCTATAGGATAGTAAAACACAGGAGCAAGCCACTTACTTAGATTATTTGAACTGTACCACTAGAAGTTTTAAAAAATTGTTAGGCTGTGATCTGCCATTAACATGCTGGACGTGATCTGCCTCAGAGCAAAAGAACAGACTAACTGAGCTTTTTTAGTCCCTTCCAGATGTACTCCTCTGCCATCTGACAAAGACTGACGGCTCTTTGTGCTGATGGCCAAACCATAACTGAAGGCTAAAGCCAGGACTACTTTGGATCAATTTGTTCAAGGTATGTGTACAGTACAAAGCAAATTCAAAGGAGAAATTATGGCAATACTGCAGTTGTTGCTTTTTATCAGCAGCATCAATTGCTGCTGAACATCCGTCAAAGAACATCGCTGGGCCAAAACTAGGTCTGGAAAGATTTGTGTGACAAAAATGCAAATTTTAGAGAAGACGTAAATCTGAGGAGTTCTAGTTTATGAGGTTATCCCATCCCACCATAAGGCTTCCACTAGAATTAACCAAGTCCCTACCTGTCACAGTACCAGAGCGACTGAGGAAGAGAGTGTCCTTGGGGTTTAAAGTCCATGGCAAAGGACTTTGAGGCTTGAAACAATGAGGCTTTTGAATCAGCTTAGGACTTCAGGACTGCTACTGCATGACCAGTCAGTATGCAATTATATACTCAGCCCTCTAGTGCTGGCCACAGCCTGAATCTGTGTGGGTTAGGAAGAAGGACTGGTGAGTGGGATAGCACAGCCGTGTCATCAGCTACAGACAGCCTTCTGCAGTCTGAGTCCTTTATATGAAGTACCTAGGAAACAAGGAGAGCCAAGCAGTTCCAGTGTGCTGTATCTTCCATAGATGGAGACCATTTCCACCAGTCGATCCAAATAGCCTTATATACTGCTTCCTAGCTTTGATTCTCAATCAGTGTTGATGCTGTAGTGCCTACAGTCTTTTGGGATTGCAAACGGTGAGCTAAGTCAGCTATTTTTATTTCCCTCTGCTTTTGCTGTCTAGTGATTGCATTATCAGGGCAAGAATATGTTCCTATTTTTCTCCTCACTTTGTAATAATAAAACTTTATAGTAATATTTTGGAATGGATGGACCGGACTTGTAACCTTGGGTAGTACTTTTTTCTGTGTGCTTCTTTTCATAGAAACATAGCAGAAGAAAAAACACCAGTTAATAACATAGAACTGTAGTCTAGTAGAAAAGGGGAAAGTTCCCTGAATTTATATTCACTCCTGGAAAATACAATCCTATCACTGTGAATTCATCACACTTTATTTACAGCAAATGCTATTTAATATCCCAGGAATAAAATCAGACTCTCCTGGGGTGCTCACTGGAGCATTCAGATTTTCTGAGGCTGCCATTGGAGGTATAAAAAAAATGGATGCCAATAAAAAATAAATCAAAATTGAGGATTTTGTTTTTCTTTTCCTCTGGATAAAACTTGTAGTCTTGCTTGTCAGATACTTGCAAGTAAACTCTTTACTAATACTTGACTAAGCGAGCCCTTCCTCTGGAGGATGATGTCATGAAGAACGTAAGGTTCTCTGGGTCTAAACACAAAATGCAGCAATGAAAATTAACAGGAAAGTTTCATTCCAAACAAATTTCCCCTTGACAATCAGTAACAAGAAACTTCAGGCTGTTAATAAAGAGGCTATGGAGATTTTTCAAGCCAGGACTGACTGCTCAGCAAACCTGAACATCTGCTTTTAGTTTCTGCTTTGAAGTCTTCCTACTGAAATGAAAAATTTTTACAGCTCAACATAACAACCTTTGTGGTGTCAGAAAACCAATCTCCTTGTATGTGCAAAACTAAGTAGTGCAGAAAATCAACTGACAGGAGCAAGAAAAGTAGGGAGATGAAAGTGTATAATCCCCACGTGCTTGCCGACTCTGGTTTGCTGCTGCAATACGAAAATCTGCATGCTCGTGGGGACAAAGAGAGACTAGACACCAAGCATGTTTTGGGATATATCACTAGTATCCTTCTAATCTGCTTTCAGCTTTAGAGCAGCTGGAGGTGTGGATTTAAGGCTTTTTATGTGTCCTCATAAATTGCAGGAGGAATAATCCAGTGGAAGGACAGACCACCTTAAACTCAGTCTGTTCTGTTGAATCCACTGCCTCTGGATTTGCCTGAATGAACAGCTCGCCTTCTCTGACAATCTGGGGTGCTACAGATTTTTCAGGACCCCTCACACCAGAACATGTGTATAAATGCACAGGTGTTGCTCACAAACATTTGTGCATTTATCCATCCACGTGACCGCACCGAGAATTTTAGAAAGCGAAAAGAAATGGAGCGCATTTCATCCCAGCTCTTCTTTATGCACCTTCCATCAGGAAGCATGTGGATTAAAACCTCCTGCTCTTACACAGTTTGTTTTTATTGCCCTAGTGTGAAAATATCTCAGCTTTCAAAGGTATTTTATTTCCCTGACTTAGAGAGAGGTGCAAAAACAAAGGCAAATGGTGGCTGAGGGCTAAAAGTAAATCTTCTCTGTCATCAGTTGCCGTGCAAGATTATAAGACTTCAAAAATGGCTTGGTGTAGGATGTCTCATGACCAAGTTATGAAAGTTGAGTTGGAAAACCTAACAGAGAGAGCGGATGCCAACGCCCTGCCTCTGTGCTGTATTGTGTAAAGGGAAATACCCTGGGGATGATACAGGAGAGGGACAGACAGTGGTCGGTTTTCCTCCCATACGCGCTGTGACCGCAGCGGGCACTGAGTGTGGGGCTCTGAACAGGGAGGCAGCTTGCTCTGCACTCCAGCAGGCACCGCACCCTCACACCGAGCAATATATTTAAAAACCTGGTGAGAGACCAGCCTAGGAGATTGGCTTACAAGTCCTTTTGTAGCTCCCTTCATAGCTTCTGCATATAAAAGCTGGAGAGGGGGTGGGGGATACAGACAATCATTTACCATGTTTAGGGGGAGTCTATAAGATGTGAGTAAAGATCAGCAAGACACGGTTTCAGAAATCATCCTAAAAGTTCTCAACCTCTTTTAGACAGTCTGAAAGCTTTCATAGGCAGGTTAAAACACGTACTCTAGACTACTATCCTCTTTTATGCATCACGGAATATCATCTAGCAATATTTATTTCTAGCCTATTTAATTTCTAAAATCCTTACCATCTTACTTAGAGAAGGATACTTCGAGAAATCAGGGAAGTTCATCATGCTGGACCGTGCTTAATGCATGACTAAACCAGCCAGCAATGCTTTCAGGAGGAAATGTGGTACGACAAAAGCTTAAGTGTTACTCATTAAAGGATGACAGCAGTATTTGGCTTCATACTGAATTAAATGGTAAGAATCTCACCGGTAATATGAAGAGAATCCTTTTTAAGCTTTGAAATTTTATTATGTCAAACCCAACTTTTCTCAGTACTGGCAAGTGAACAAGAAAGCAAAACCTTATATGGATTTTAGGGGTTACACTGTGAGCAAAAAAAAGAACCTGAGTAATACAAAAAGAACAAAGGGAGTCATCACGACTTGGTGCTGCCATTTAAATATCCAGGAAAGCTTAATGAAGAATAGTAGCCTCTGCCTCCAGCCAGGCAATAACAAGAGTGCCATTGTGGAGCTCCTCAGAGTGATGCCTGAAGGTTGTAGGCTTTAAGTCAGTACTGCTTTTTCCTGCTATTTTGTAGTTTCCTACCAAAAAAGTGAATCAAAAATACATTCATTTTTCCCCCAGGAATCTTAATTGCTTATGGAACCTTGTGAGACCCTATTCTTTAATAAAAGCTGGAATAGAGAGAGAAGCATGTGGTGAGAGAAATGTGGTTTTTCAATGCACAACAGGAAATCAGGAAACACATGAACCTTAGAACAGCAACAGATTGCGGCAAGATAGAGGCCAGATGTGGAAAAGGCTGGGATACTTTTAGGGAGCATTGGAAAGGTTGCACCTCAATGGATTCTCAAATTAAATGTATGCTAGAGACAGTTCAGAAACAGCCTCCAACACTTCATGCGTAAAGGAGCGTTGAATGGCAATCACAGGTAGTATCCATACAAGCAGCACTGTTTGAAGCCTGATGTTTTGGCAGGTTTCCCCTAAGTTAGTATAATGACATACAAATTAAATTAAATAATTTTCCCCACCTTCTGTGAAAAGGTGAATTTTACATTACCTCACTTAGGTTATTTGGTAGCATGAGGAGATGTAGCCATAGGAGTTTCATTATAAACAATGTGCTTAGTTACCCTTGTTTCATACTCTGAAAATTAGGCTATATATTAAAATGTTTTTCACTGGTTATTAAAAGCTACTACTGCTGCCACGGTAGCCAGTTTCTTATATACTAGAGACAATTGCCATAAAGAATTAATGGTGCCCTGTGAAAACAGGATTCCCACCCAGTGGGAATAATTACATGGAGAACAGAGGACATATTTAAGAAGCCTTTCATTTAGCTGCAGCACAACCCCAGGCCCATCTGTTGGGAGCTGGGATGGGCTGCAGGAGCTGCAGCCGCTGCCACCAAAAGAGATGTGAAGCCACAGCCTCCAGCCCCCAAGTTCCCAGGATGGTGTTCTCATCCTATTAAACCCAACAGCAAAACTTCCTTTGACCTCAGTAAAGCCAAAGGTTTTCCACAATTGCCACAGAATGTGGAGAACACTTAGCATTTCAGTGCAGGTTGGTACACCACAGTGCTGTTTGTCACAGTTTGAAAAAAACATTTTCCCTGACAGCAAGATGCACGTCCTGCCCCCATCAGTTACACTGATGAGACTTTTTTGAGGATTGCAGTAAAAATCCACTGTTGAAACAGTCAAGGTTAAACGAACCTCCTCCTCTTCCCTTTAAAAAAAGGTGTATGTGTGGGAATTACCACCAGGTAAACCAGCCTCTTTCTAGCACCACTGCTTTTCAGGTTTTACCTACCACCGACTCTGTATTTTTTCCCCTCTATTGTTGTATATGTCTTTCTAGCTAGACCCTTGCCTTTTGACCTTCAGTCTATGGCTCTGATTTCTCTCATTACTGTGTGTTATTCTTCCATCCTCTCTTGCATTAAGTATCTTTTCCATTTCATGTATTCTGCTAAGTTTATGAATGCACAGCTCCTGCCTCTTCTAAACAACTAATGGACTTCAGTAATTAGAAATGTGACATGAGGAATCATGCAGAGAGAGAGTAAACAATTTAATAGAAAAAACAGTAAGAAGATAGAAATCATCTGTCTTCAGCACTGATTATTTTTACACAGGCTAAAATATTTCCTTTG